GTGGCAGAACCGCTCGAAATAACACGCTTACGGAGGTGCTCGTCTTCCACCAGACTCTAAGCACCCCAAAAGCAAGCTACAGCGGGCGGTATCCGTCGGGCACACCCCAAGGGAAAACCCGAAAGATCCACATTTTTCCTAAGGATTCAATAATGAGAACGAGTTACAATACTTGTCCATTTCATACATCAGAAGTTCTTAAAAATTAAATTATTACATTACCAAATGTCAGAGTGCGGAATAATAAACAACAAAATTTAAAAATAATCATCTAGCGATAAGGAACGGGGATCCGTCTGAGCCCACCAGAACAATCCTCCACACAATGGAACTTCTCATGCATTACCTGCAACATGGGTAAATAAACCCTGAGTACACAATGTACTCGTAAGACTTATCCGACTAGTGGGAATAATTTCCCGACTCCAAGGAATATGATAGGCTTTATGGTTTGCTGGTTTTCTTTTTTGCAGAAGGCAATACTATTAGTGAGTCCTTACTTATGAGATTATTAATAGCCGTATTAATTTATTATCTATCCATTCTATGTAAGCGTCTGTTCTACTTTCAAGCAAGAGTTGAGCAATCAGTCTCATTTCATCACCTTCTGTCTTTTAGTTCTTACTACGGTGATAGACTAAAAAACAAGCCGTACCGGATTGCCAGGCGATTTTTGTGAATCAATGCCCCCAGCTAGGTACCCCGATAACACATGCCCCGCTTGTACCCCAGGCATAAGCAGGGCTAACCCATCACCCTCCTGTCCTGGGTGTCCAGGTCTCCGTCCAAACTTAGACTCCAAGCCCCCACTCCTGAGTTCTGGACTCAGTGTAGTGCAAGGATCTCCATCATCCCCGCATCCAATCAGTCGGTCCGAAAAGAGCCGGATCCACGATAAGAGAGCAACGAGTCTTCCCTGCTCCCATACCAAAGTATGTGCTCGGGATAATAGATCTGTGACTTGCCTCGAGACTTAGGCAACGACCGGTCCTTAATCGACACAGACAGGGAAAAAGTGTAACCAAGCTATGCCCTGTTGGCCGTAGGACACAACCTCTTACACCCACCAGTACCCAACCATATCCCTGCCCGGTCACTATTTTCCTTTCCACCATTTTATCATGAGTAAGCATAATTATCACCTATTGTGAGTAACGACAGGTTACTCACACTACCGATACCTTTAGCATAGTAGCTACTCGACCTGTACTGGTAGGACTCATAGGTAGATATATTTATGCATGTAGTTTTCTTAAAATGTCTGGGCAGGCGACGGGTCAGCAAAGTCAGCACAAAAAGGCTCCAGGGCTTGCTCCTGCACGAGGATCTCCTCGTACTCCTCAATCACTTCCTCGTACTCCTGTTCGTCCATGGGCACAAACTCTACCAACTCGTGATCTACATGCATGAAATGATGGTGCAATGCTTAGTAATACGGCAATAGCAACTCTTAAAATAAAAATACATCTATCTAACTACTAAGCTAGTGCTACCGACCAAGGTACTAAGTTATCTATTGTTACCAATAACAAGCATGAAGCATGATATACATTATCATAGCAACTATATGTATTCTTACTCATAATGCTGATTTACGCTATATATGATAAAACAAGGATAATAGCTACTCTATTTATCAACCTATTCTGGGGCTATAAAATTTACAGTAAGTACAGAATAATCCAGTCAGCCTACTGTAAAATTTTCATAGCTATAGCTATCACCAATTTACCACAAAAATTCCTACAAATATTAATCTACATCATACTAAGCTTTCTAGTTTGGATTTATGACCCCATCACTATCAAAGCTAACTGTAATCTAACTACACTAACAGATAGATGGCATTTTTGTGAACCTAACTAACTTGGTTTCACTATTTTTGGACATCTACAAGATTTACTGCAATTTATCAAAGTTCACCTAAAAATTATATTGAATAAACATTTGTAAGTCACTAGAGAATTGAAAAATGAATTCATAGCGCGGCCCGCGAACGATGGCTCAGCTCACCCTGGCATCCCGCCCGCGCGCATGCACAGCAACCAGCGCGGCCCACGCAGCGGAGCGTGACGCGGCCCACGGCGGAGCCCGCGTGCGGCTGGCTCTTTTGCAAAAGAGCCCCCGTTCTCTACCCTATTCGTGAAACCCACTCGAGCACTATTTCATCGAGTCACGGAGTTTTCATCTACCACCCTTCTCTTTTCCTTCTTCATCATGGCCACATCCCCGCCACCGTGACTGCGTGCCAGTCTTGTCTTGTGGCTGGCCGGCACCGGCGGCTGGCCCGCCGCCACACCGCACCCCTCTGACCCTATCTAAGGAGCCGATGCTCACTCGACATCGTCGCGCAAAGCGTGGGGAAGCGTCTGGTGAACAGGGACGCTGTCCCGAGCTCCCTCCATGGCGGCAGACTTCTCCCTGCAACGGCGGGCGTGTTCTCGTGAGCCAAGGTACCGACATCGTGAAAAAGCTCAAGTACGGGCAACAGAGACTCACCGCGAACCTACCGGTCGTGAGGGCTTGATCGGAGACTGACCGAGCGAGCCTAGCCACGCGAGCCCGGCAAGCCTCGCGATAGCGGCAGCGATGAGGAGGCAGTAGCAGGGTGAATTGGGGTGCGCACGGGATAGAGTGGAGTAGGGCGAAGGTTTAGTGCCAACGAATTGGACGGAGGTGGACTAGGCTAGGGGAATTAGGCGGGCGCTGCCATGGAGTCTTAAAGTGACCGACAGCGACGGAAGCATCAAATTGAGGCTCAGCAATGGTCGACAGCAGCAGTGGAAAGGTTTGGCGCGTAGCTAGGTCTCCACTCCAACCACAGGCGCACGCAATTTCACTGATTTGGCCGACGCTGCGTGCAGGCCTCGGTGTGGCCCGGCAACAGAGGAACAGGTAAAGTAGGCGGAGTTCGGCACGGCGCTGTCGTGGCAGAATCGGCCGTCAACTCCAAGTACAAGCGCACACGGGCGATGGGGAACAGCGAGGCATGCACAAGACGCGATGGGCGCCTTGTCACAACCCGAAGCTAGCGGCGGACAAGACCGCTGCGCGCGCGACGGACGACGGCGTCGGCGAAGGAAACAACAACAGCAGCGTTGACGCCAAGTGATGATGGCAGAAGCGGCGGCACTCCCCGCCGCAAGCAAGGCGGCGTGTGGCGCGAAATAGCGTGGCTCGCTCGCGGCGGCGACACGCGCCTTGTCGGGCGAAGCGGGCGGCAGAGAGTGGCAGCGTGGTACGGCGGTGTGGGTCCACGCGGTTGTGCGCGAGCGTGTGCGTGCGTGGCGTGCCAGGGCAGCAACGCGATGCGGCCTGCAGCGTGGGACCAGCGGCATGGCTAGCCACAGCGGTGCGGCGACGGTGGCCAGAGGCAGGCCCGGCAGCGGTGCGTGCGTGTGCGTGGCGTCGTGGCAAAGAACGATGGTGCGGCGGTAGGGGCGGGGCGATGGCGAGAAGCAGGCGGTCGGTGGCGAGCGCGCGCGGGTGGTTGGCCAGGGCATGGCAACGGCAGACGCGACGGGTAGCAGGCGCGGTGACGCCGAGCGCCGGCACGGTGACCGCGCCCAGACACAGCACCGTGTCATGCACGCTTTTTAAAGCGTCCCAAAGACTCAAACCTGATGATTCAAAAGCCAAACCAGTTGTTGTACACTCAAGAGGGTACATAAGGCTACCAACTAAGCCAAAACATCTTGCCACTACTTAACCCGATCGTTCTACAAAAATTATCGAACATGGCTTCGTCGACCCATTTTTAGACTTACGAGAATTGACTAAGCTTCAAACGGTTTCGCGTCAAATTCCATTTCCAAGCTACTTGATACACTAGCTAGCGAACCCCGTCCTCGACCGCACGTATTTTATCGCCGCCTACGAAGTTCGTGCTACAAACTTTACTAACGATCCGCATATGCGTTCCATAGCATTTCCGTCCAATAAAAATTCATTTAGAACCCTAAGTAATACAACGCGACATGAAATGTAACATGTGTTTCGTGTTTCAAATGAACGTTTCAAGTTCCATATATTGCTTTACACTCTATAACTCATATATTTACACACAATTTCACATAAGTATGATGCTCATGCAATGTTTTAGCAAAAACTGAACAATGTAGCACCGATGATGTTACACGTCGCAACACTTACGTCATGACCTAGCTACATTAGCCCGTTCGCTTCGTGGCACGCAAACAGGCATGTGGCTCGTCTTTCACTTTTGGTAAAGTCACAACACGTGCACACCTATTTAAATTGAATCAATCTCCTGTCAATTTTTCCCTATGAGATTAATCCTTAACATTTGGTGTTGGAAACAACTTGTGCAGAATAAATAAGTGAAAAATTACCCTCCGAGCAGAACCATGTTGATACGGAGAAATGTTTGTGTTCTGACCATGCTGCTGCGCTCTCATGCACAACAGGGGGAAGGGAAGCTGTGTGAGTTCGTTTCACCAATCACTAGGGATCGGTGGTTGTGAAAAAATACTACACAAACTATATCCATAAAGCAAAGGACGGCTGCAACAAGTTGCATTCCAATACAGTGAAAATTTGAAGCAAAAACACGTTTCTGTTTCTTCATGAGTTCAAACCTCAACCGATGTAAATGAATGAAACTCATCTATACAAATTCACCGAATGAAGTGTTTCAGATTCTTCAACAAAACGTAATGATGACCACACATTACAATAGCAACATAATTCCTTCATTGTACAAAGTGTAGTATTGTAACCACGGTGAACAAAAGTACACTACTGTAACCATATATGATTTTGCCAACACCGTTAATGTTGAAGAACATACACAAATTCTTATACTCTTGTTCACCAGATGAAGTAACAATTGAGCGCACAAGTACCATACTACCATGAGTGCCAACTAAAAAGGTAGATCAAAAGATGATACTTGAAAGCCGATGCCTGCAGTCGAGTAACAACTAAATGCTAGACGAAGAACATACTCCAGGAACGAATTTCGTCTTGGTAAGTGTATGCTATGACTCTGGTGCTTTTCCATAGCCCAGCTCTGACATCTCCCAGCTCGTCCGTGGGGCAACCTCCTGGTGTGACCGAGTGTAGTGCTGAGTATAACCAAGAGAATTAGAAGCACTGATGTAAGTCAATGAGGCAAACTACAAGTCCAAAGAACTGAGTGTCCGAATTGTATAATAAGCAGATAAGGTCACCTCACCTCCATTTTCTCCAGTAATTCATGGGCAGTTGGCGCTGAAACAATTATCTCTCTGCAATCTAGCTTAATAAAACCTTCCGTCGCCCCTTTATCAAATAGCATGAGCAACGGGTCGTAGTAACCATCAACATTAAGCAATCCAACCTGCAGTATATGTCAAGATAAGTTACTTGTTGAGTGCCCATAAGCTACTTGTTTGCGGCCATATACTAATACTCACTGGTTTGTCATGAATTCCTAGTTGTGACCATGTTATCATCTCTAACAACTCTTCCATTGTTCCATACCCTCCTGATGTCCAGAAAACCGTCATTGTCACATCAAACAAAATAGATGTCAGTGTCAGCGTGTACTAGAGAAAAAAAGATATAAATTGTGTACCAGGAAGAGCAATGAAGGCGTCAGCTTGTCGCGCCATTTCAGCTTTCCTTTCATGCATATCGGAGACAACCTTTACTTCTCCAACGCTAGCACCAGATATCTAGTTTGAGAAGAAAAACAAAATCATTGTTCCAAATGATTAAAGATGATGTATAGGACTCCGGGTTCACTTTGGAGCAAGTACCTAGAAAGAGTAGCATATTTGTTTTCCTAGTTGCCTTTGACGCATTCCAAACTCTTCAGTTTTTTGAGTTACCTATAGACAATCATTCTAAACCTATCATCTACTGCCTAATGGAAAATTTTATGCCTCACACTCTTTCCCCTCACAAGTTGAGATGTCCTATTGGCAAGTTACACATTCTTATAATTAAACCCATCCAGTGGTAAATATTAAAATTCCAAGTTGTACTGCCCTAAAATCTAAACTGATAGGCTGCAACTGCAATTCACCTCTCCTAAATCCTAGCTCCAATTCCTTAGTGATCACCTATTCACCTATTGCTAACCCCCAGAAGCAAAGGTGAATCAATCTGAGCCAACAAACCTTAGGAATCAAATGGTGACTTGGAGAGCACTACTGACATAGCACTACATGAGCTGCTACATACTAGAGCAAAATCATGTGAAACCAACATCCAGGGCCAAATTCGTGGAAAATTTTCATATGAACCACCTGTAAGCAAGTACAAAACCAAACGCGAGCCAGATTCTATTTTTGAGCTGAGATTTGTTTTGCAGTTAGTTAAATATCATTCTCTCCTGTGAACCAATTAGCCACTAGAGCAGAGTAATACTAGTAGAATTAACAATGACGTAACAATCGATAGTTCTACACATACACAAAGAATAGGACAGACAAAAAGGACAGCTAATATTTAATACACACCTCAAGCGGCATGAGTGCTCTTGGAATCACCCTGCAAACGGATCAAACAGGGAAGCCACACGTTAGACAGATTGAAGAGTTCGATCATGAAGTTTGCCAGTTCTGAAGAACTGAACAGAAGCAGAATTCTCCAGGATGTGCAGGTAGGCAGGTACCCGAGGACACTGCAGCCGCCACCAAGAACCGTCTGCGCGATCAGGCCCATGAGCCCGACGCTGCCGCCGCCGTAGACCAAATCGATCCCCCTCGCCACCTGCAAAGACGAGAACCCGCGGAATCCCGCCAGGGAGCGTGACTGCGTGAGCGAGCGACCAGGCAATCCAGCCAAAGACCACAAATTTTGAAGCGACCCCGGGCGCAGCCTTGCCATCGGCGGCGCATTACCAGCTCTTTGCCGAGGTCGAGCGCGGCGTCCCCGTAGACGGCGCGATTGCCGGGGTTGCTGCCGCAGAAGACGCAGATCCTGCCGAACCTGCTCGGCTCTGGCGTGTCAGCCGCGGTGTCGCCCATGGCGGAGGAGCGGAGCGGGCAGTGGCGGCGGGACGGAGGCTAGGAGAGGTGTTCGGCTTTGGCTTCTTTGCCTTCGAGGACGGGGGAGCTTCAAATGAAAGGCGGCATCAGGGCTTCTCTCCTGACGCGATCGTGCTGTTTAATAATCGCGTAATCAATTTGCCGAGTCAACTCCAGTGGCCCCAGATTGCACCACAGGAGCCCACATGTCAGGGTGCGTTTCTTGCAGATTGTCCCCGCAATCTGTACCCTCTCATAATTGAGTCCTTCGGGCTTTGTGTGTTGTTGGCTTCGGTCATAAAATCTTCGTTTTAACTTCGATTTGGTCCGTTTAAATTGCGTTAGGTTTGTAATTGACTAATCTACATGTTTATATTGCTGTTACGTATGTTTTTAACTTTTAAAATTCGAGGTTAGATTTAATCTATTATTTTATAAAAGGAAATCTTGTTTAATTCATAACATCTTCGTTTTAACTTCTATTTGAGTGATTCTCGTGTCTGCGTGTTCGTAGCATCGCGTAGAACAGTTTTAAAACCTTTTTAACTTCTTTTTATACTGTTTGGTGTACTATTCTAATTAGCTTATATTTGTTTGCTATGCATGTATGTATGGATGCATGTGTGGTGCTGTTTGATCTCGAGTAGACAGTGAGTTTTGTGTTGGTGATCTGAAGCAACTCTTTTAAGATCAAGACCAGCAACGATACATTGAATTAAGGCAAGTATAATATGAGGCTCCTTGTTACCTATTCAGTTTAATGCAATCTCAATTCATATGCATATGTTAATGAACCGCTTGGAGCCTAATTACCTTGATATTGATTATCCTGTCCTTGATTTGCCTATGGGTTTTTACATGTGGGTAGTATGCTCAGTTTGCTCCAACTCATATTGATTAAAGAATACAATTAAAGATATATGCAACATGGTATAAAAGATACTTTTTAGCAACCTGGAACCAAGGGGGCTAGAGCATTGAGCATTTTTCTTATGGTGCTCTAGTTTCTCTCCATAAGGACTCATCTTTAAGTGACAACCTAGGACTTACAGTACAACCATGAGGATCACATGGCTCTGTTCTTAGTCCAGTACCTTGCTCTTTCTAATTTGTAGCAGTTTACCGAAAGGGCAAGAGGGGCATACCAGTCTGGGTATGGGCCTCATCCCCAGGGTGTGTACTATGCTGCGTGTATTAGTGTCATTTTTGGAGATGACTCCATAACACTTGGGAGATGGAATCCTTAGCGGCTGCTCCTTATTAGAACGACGGGGAAAAACTTCGTAGTGTACCCTACCTGCTCACCTTGGAAGTGTTTTGGGAGTAATTAACCTGGGCATATGGGCAACACGACTCATGGTGAAAGTGTACAACCTCTGCATAGTGTAAAACTGGTATATCAGCCGTGCTCATGGACACGAGCGGCCTGGATCCTTACTGAATAGTTGGTTACTTGGATGGTTTGGGTTATGATTAAATTGCTAATATCTCTAATTATTCATATTATGGAGCCTAAGCATAACTTTGCAATTTATGATTAATAATAAAATATGACCAACTAAAAGTGCTTACAGCAGTTCAGCCGTGTCAAGCCTTTTGAGCCTGCATCCCCTCATGTTATACTTGCTAAGCGGTAGTAGCTTACGCTTGTTTTATTTCAATACTTTGGCAAAATCTCGGATGGGTACCAGATGGAGGTTCTTCAGTGGAGTTTTTCAAGAGGTGTTAGGCTTATGATCAACCAGTTGACGATTTTCTATGGTATTGGAGGTCTCGCCAGAAGAATAGAGTTATAGTATATACTATAAAGTAAGACTATGTCTTTTATAACAAATATTTGTGCGCTATGTATTTAAGGCATTGTCTTTGATATTACCCCTTTATTTGTAACTACATGTGTAAATCGAATTCCTGGGCACACATATGATGTGTATCTGGTTTTGTCCTTAAAACCATGTGCTACACTCCCTTGAGTCCTTGATCGTTTCTGTTCCCGCGAACTCACGAAGAAGAGAGGTTGCGAGATTGCAGAGGCAATAGGAGCGGAGCCAGATCGCATAACACCCGGAGGGGAGCGGTATCGACATTTCGTAGGCCCATAACAATCCCGTTAATATGGATTACAACCCAACCCAATCAAACAAAAGTGATGATATGTGAACTGTTTATTATCTAAAATGACGAACCAACACTACTACTGGAAGTATTTGTAGTGTTGGCTAGCCTAGCCGCCTCTACTTTTCCGTTTCTTTAAATCAACGATTTGTATAGGCAGTTATCCAACGATCTCTATAAATCAGATTTCTTAGGATGGCTGGTAACATGAGCCACCTCTAGAGGCGGCTGTATTCAAAGCCGCCTCTAAAAATCGTTGTCCAGAAATCACAAGTCTAGACCTAAAAATAGAAAAACATAAAAAAATCGAGAGACCCCATCAAGCAACCACACGCGCACATTGTCACAAGACATGTGATTTTTGGCCGTGGGGTCTCAAACCCTGAACCAGCAGGCTCATGCTATCTCCTTTAACCACTCCACCCATAAGTTACTTGTGTCCATATATTTTCATCTGATTTTGAAATAAAAATTAGGACCCAAACGAATTTAACTGAAAAAGGTTTCAACTACGAAGTTGTAGATATCGTTGAGATCTCTAACTTTGGTTTTGGTCGTTTTGCCAGCCGAGGTTGTTTGAAAATTTTGAATTTTAAACATGAAAAATTCAAACGTAATATTTTAATAGATGATTTCAAATGAAAAGGTTGTTAGCTACAAAGTTGTATTACTCTTTGAGATCTAAAATTTTGTTGTGGTCATTTTTTCATTCGAGATCGTTTCAAAATTAAAACTTTACTGTGTTGCACCTACGGCTCTAGATACAGCTACCTTTAGAAATATATTTGTAGAGACGGTTAGATCTAGAACCACCTCTAAAAATAGATCTATTATTTGTAGACATAGCTAAAAATAACAACTTTTTTATAAATATATTTGTAAAGACGTCTTGGTTGGACCGATTCGCAGATCGAGGTGGCTGTCAGCCTGTTCGGTTGGCTGGTGGATCTCGTAAACGATCCTAAATTTCCAGCCGAAACAATATTTTTTCCTCATACCAAACCAGCCAGCAGTAATAATCTACGAACCAGCCAGCCATCCGAAGAGGCTGTGTGTCTCTTTAAAAAAAAGTGGTGTTGCTAAAAAATCAAATCTGTAGTAGTACAAACTGGATCCGCTGTCGTTCGTTAGCTCGATCCTGTCAAAGCCAGTGCCATCTTTTGGACCTTGGAGTGCAGCCTGGCCTGGCATAGAACCATAAACTGTCGTTCGTCAAATCCCTATTTTGGAGTCTTCCTTCCGTCCATATATGTTGTAGCTATCGTGCGTTGTACTTGTACACTATTGTGTGTGGCAGAGTTCTTTTGAACGAATATGTTGTGGAAGAGTTTGGAAAAAGTCTGTAAAACCTCGCAATCGATCCTTTCGCCGTGGTTGCTATAGAAAAGACCTCTTACAGTCCTGCTCAGCTTGCGTTTACACTTGTGCAAAGTCGTCACCACCTGTACGGCTGTATCTCCAGTATCTGCGGGCTTTTGTCCTCATTGAGAAAATGAATTAAACCACGCAGGCAGCGTAGAAAAAGCCTGCACGAAATAAAAGCACTAACTTTTGACGTCTTTCAAGTGCCAACTATTCGTCCATCCGTCCACTTCGAAGTTACGTACGTACGAACATATGGAAACAGGAAACAGTGAACTTACGGCGATACGATGGACTATGGAAACAGCAGCTCGCGGCGAGGTGTCCAGAAGTTGATGCATGACTATATATATATATATATATATATATATATATATATATATACACCATGCCAGAATGCCATGCCCGGATCCTTAATTTGATGTTTACAACATCGATCATCAATCATATGGGCGTGGAATGATAAGACCGAGTGTGTCAGAGGACATCGCAAAAGAAATATACAGTCACTCTACTGTAGCCAGGACAATTATTGAAGCATACAGCTTCGTCCAGCTGTCCAAGCAACAGTAAATGCGAATAATTAAAGACACCAGAAGACTTAAATATGAAGACGGCACTCCAGAAGATAAGCACGAAGGACACTCTAAAATCTGGCTCGCGTTTGGTTGTTGTAGTGGCATTGGCAACACGTGTTAAATGACTTTTTCTGCATAGAGAATTGGCACGGCTTTAGGGCTGTTCGTTTAAATTGAAATTTAGCTTATATCGATGCTTATACTGAAATATTATGAGAGAAAAATAGTGTTTTATGTTTGAAAAATAGTGTAGAATAAGCTCAAGCGAATGCAGTTGACCACGGGCATCAAGCAGAAGATTTCATCGCTCCTTTTCTGGGATGAGAGCCAAGTGACATACTATGGTACTACCTCCGTTCCAAAAAGAATATAATTATGGGTTGCGTGCCACGAAAAATGGATCACGTTTGAACAAGTTTTTAGTGAATAATATTCACATTTATGGCTTTAAATTAATTTATTATGAAAACATATTTCGTAATTAATCTAATGGTATTTATTTGGTATCATAAACATGGATATATTTTTATCTATAATTGGTCAAACTTAAGGTATTAAAACATGACATTATGCTAGAATTGTATTCTTTTTAGGACGAATGTAGTACTTATGATATTGGAGCGTCTTCATTGGCCCCTCAATCCCCACTTCTGATGAGAAAGACCTGTACTTTGAGAGATCTGAGAGCACTAACAAATTTCTAATCCAACCCCCAACGAGAAAAAAAATATTAGTCACTTAAAATCCGTCATTCAACCCTCAAAGATGCCACCTTGCCACATCTCCTACTCACGTCGTCTGCTTGCCACGGCGGAGAAATTTGAGTCCACACCAATGGCTAGCCATTAGAGTGAGGAGCACGGTGGGCCACCAGAGTGAGGACGAGATGAGGCCGACGAGCAGCAAGATGGGAAGAGGAGCGATGGCACAACAGAGACATTTGGTAGAGGAAAGGCGACAAGTGGAGTAGATGCAATACGATGCTCGGAGTTGGTAGAGAAAGAAAGAGGTGGGTGAGAGAAAAATAAAATAGGTGATTATATTGCATGATAAATAGACCCCACATGTCAGATGAGGTATTAGGGTGAGATTTTCTCATTCCATTGGAGATTGAGCTAATCGGCTGATGGTTTCTGCGGCTGATAAGCCAGCTAATATTGTTTTGTTGTGAGAGAAAAACATTGTACCATGACTGATAAGTTCCAGCGAACAGGGCTAGGCCTTTCAAACCCCTCAAAAAATATTTGTTGCTCCCCAATAACTAGTTTTAGGCTTGAGATTTTGTCCTACCGCTAGTGGTGCTCTTACTTTCATGCAAGTATATACTCTCGGTACACCGACAACTGTGTTCAGATGATCGGATCAAATGTGTAGGCGAGCAAGGTCAGACATAGCTGTTCTAGGAGTAACTCCAAGAGCCTCTTAATATCCTTTATCATTGGTAGGAATAGAGATTATAGTAAAAAATGTTTTCTAACAGCTTTTTTTTATTTAGATCTCCAAGTATTAACATCGTGCACGCTTGGGGACCGCTGCGTGGTGACCGTGTGGTGTGGTATTGTGATTTGGCCTCCACCCCTCGACACGAAAAACGCGAGTGCAATCTCAATCTCGTAGTGGGTGTGTCTTGCCATGGTAGATCGTGAGCCATTTGGCGGGATTTCAGATTTCTTGCTAGCTAGAGATAGAGAACGGAATTTGCTTTCTGGAGTGTTCACAAGATATAAAAAGTTGTTGAATGGTAAAAAAGATATAGAGAGTGATTTTACTTAAATAACTCTCTAAATAATGATTTAGAAAGTTTAATGCACACTATTGGAGATGATCTAAATTTGCCACCGTAAATTCTCAGCTCCCTCCCTTCAAAAACAAATAAATTCTCAGCTTCCTCACATGTTTATATCACGGTCCTACGGGAAAACAAAATCGCAATCACCCTTTTTTGCGTGTGAATCGCAATACCTTTGCTGTTGACCTTGACCATCGCAACAGCTCAAACGAGCGTATGTTGTCAGGTAGGATCAGAACTATTCAGCTCATGGTTTATGTAGTTGATAAGTCGGCTGATACTGTTTTATTATAAGAAAAAATATTATACTATAACTCTCGTAGTTGATAAGCCGAGCTGATAAGATAAAACGGACGGGGCGCCTCGAAATGCTGAGTCGCTGACCGCAACAACTCCTGGCAGACTCTCTGCGTGTTTCTCGACCTCTTCTGCCCCTCCCGAGTCCCGACACCGGCAGCTTATCCAAATACTGAAACGTGGTCTAACAGCCTGCTGCACAAGATCTAGCAAACATTCCAAGAATTCATTACCATGCCATCCTAACACTCTGGTTGATAGATGTTGGCAGGACAGGTCTGGGACGACGACACCGTGCCGGGCGGTCGCCGCCCGACGCAAACGCCACCGGCATCGTGGAAAGCTCGGAGAAGCTGCTGCTGCCGTTGCCCGAAACGACAGACATGTGTCGCCGTCTGCCGACACCCAGATAATCTGCACAAGAGGGCGGCCTACAGTCCTATCAAGAGAGAGAGAGAGAGAGAGAGGGCGGCCTACAGTTGCTCAAGGAGTGAAGGTAAACTGATGACAGCAAACTGGGGGTGGATCAAAGAATACCAGATTAGTAAATAGGTTCTCATTTCTCTTTCTCTTCCTGCAGCCTGATTAGTGATTGCAACTACTCTGCAAAATCTCCTTCCCAGATTTCTTACCGTATTTTCTATGGCACCCAGCAGATTGGATCCTCTAGCTATTGCTTTATAAAAGCATATAAACTCTGGCACGCATCATGCTTTCTGAAGCATAAATTCTGCCACCAGCTGGTTGCAGTTAAACAAGTCAACGATTCACTAAAGCAACTTTTTTTTTGAGCTCAAACGTTGGCTCTACGGCCTCATATAAGCTTGTTCGGCTTGTCTTGAAGAACAGTGCTTCGGCTTGTTTCAGCTTTTCAACTTATTCTCTTTCAAAAACACTATTTAATCAGCCGAAATCAGTTAGAACCAGCCGGTTTGGTGTCCTTCGAGACATGCAACTGTCCCATATCCCAATTCCTAGCTGACTGAGCAATCCTATGCGCAACCGAATTGCAAGCACGTGGTACATGTATAAAATTTGAAGAGCACTCCACTCGGGCTGAGATCCCTCGACGTGATTCGAATTGCATTCTCCAGCTGACATGAGTCTGTCTCAAGCACAATGTGAGATATCCCGTGTTGCTCAGCCAACTCCAGGGCTTTCATGCATGCTACAATCTCTGTCATTAAGGCATCATATATTCGTCCTTCGTTACCAGCCCCGGCCAGCACACATTTCCCAGTATAATCGTGAATAATGAACTCCCAAGCACCCACCTTCGACTTTGGACAAAAAACCCCATGGAAGTTGAGTTTCAGCCAATCCATCAATGGTGCTCTCCATAGCTGTCTAGTGTTCAGATTGGGCACAGCTCTGGATTGCTCATTCTTCATCTGATCTCCTGCCATTCTGAGGACTTCATAGCTGTCTAGTGTTCAGATTCCGCATGTCCCACCACTTCCATAGAAGCAAGAAAACTTTGGTGCTCAGTTTTCGGTTTGAAGTGCAGAATCTCTCTGACAAACTCCTTTGAGTTCTCTTTTGCTAACAATCTCACTCGGATCATCTCCATATTCATCTCCCTCCAACACTGACGGACACCTTTGCATTTCAGGAAGCAGTGACCTCCATCTCATCAAATCTCATGCAGACAGGACACCTTGTGTCTAGATCAATGTTGCGTCGCTTGATACTCATCTTCAATGGCAGGCTGTTGTGTGCAACCCTCCAGACAAATTACTTCACTTTCGGTGGACAAGAAATCTTCCAAATTCTCTTCCAGACCATGTCATCTGCAATATCGTTCTGTGTATTGGACTCCTTCCCTTGTTGGCGCTGCTTCATCCTTTGAGCTTCATCATCAAGTACATGGTACGCCAATTTCACGAAGAAACCGATTGGAATCAAAATGCCAGGCAATAGTATCCTCCATCCCCATCCGAATAGGAATGCCAAGAATATTTGCCACACCTTCTTCCGAGAACACCTCCCTTTTATGTAATTGGAATTATTAGCTCCGAGTTTTTGTTAAGAGTGTGGCATTCTAGGCCGTCTCGTGACTCCTGTTGGTTTCCAGGGGTCATCCCATATTCCGATCTGGCTACCATCTCCCACCCTCCAAATGAGACCCTGCTCTAGTGCTCTCACTCCTCGCCATGGGTAAGAGATCCCTGGCTTTTCCATCACCCAAAGAGGTCCCCTTCAGGCCAGTACCTATAGAGCACCCCTCCATCCCAAATTATAAGACATTTTGGATTTCTAGATACATTGATTTTACTATATATCTTAACATAAGTATATATTTAGATTTATAGCAAAATCTATGTATCAAGAAATACCAAAACGTCTTATAATATGGAATGGGATAATGGACTAATAGTGTGTTTGGTTTGAGGAACCACTCCATCCTAGATAGGGTGGTGCATCATGAGTTCATTCTTCAAATGAGGTGATGATGCATCAACCTATTCCATTCCGCAAACCAACAAAAAAGTAAAGAATGAGTAAATAATGGACTAGCTCATTCCTCAAGCCAAACACCCTATAAATTGCTCACAATTTATGTAACTTTGATCAAAATATGGTTGAATAAGTTTGGACAAGGAATGCATAACCCACATTTTTCAAAATATACTAAAAAGAAATTTTGAATCTGCAAGGCCTCGCATGATTCATTTTTTCAGACAGCAGACAAGCAAGGAGCTTTGCATCACTTATGATGTCTAAAATTGTCAATTTCGTTGTGCTGATCCAGCAGACCAGCACAGAGGTACAGTGCATACCAATTATCACCATCCCGCGTGACTGTAACAGGTAGGAGCAGTTCGGCATTGGTACAACAGAAATGTGGATGGTACCAAAATGAGCAACGAGGCATTAAAATCAGAGCATACGTACATGGCAACATGAATATGCCTAACGTATAGTATTATGGAAATAAACAGGACTAGGTTTTAAAACACGGCAACAGGCCGGTCGTCATTCTTCTTGTCCAAACTTCTTCTAGCGCCTCGACCTTTCAGAGTCAAACTGTTCAACCTCTTAGAAGTAACTGAAACCTCCGATCCAGCAGTGCTTTGAACATCTACCGAAGATAACGCTGTCCTGCTAATGTGGTGCATATCAGAAGATCGTTGCCTTTGAAGCGGTAACTTATGTGTGCTAGAACCATTCAACCTTGCTTTTGCTGATTTAGTCCAGTTCATGTAGTTCGGCTCACCGCCATGACCATAATCAGATCTTCGCTCTGATGTTAGGAAACTGGTGCCAGACACTGGACTGACAGAGGAAGTTGAAGGAGAGCTGGCATCACACACAAAATCTGATGAAGAAGCTAAGATTGTGGAAGGAGGCCTAGCTGCCACCCTTGTTGTCATATTGTTTCTTCTGATTTTGACTGAGCTTGCATCTGAAAGTTTTGAGCTGACTGCATTCATCTCCTCAATGCTTTCTGAACACCGCAAATTGTTGGAGTATTCAGTGTGGGTTTGCTCCATAAGGCGGCTCTCCCAAGGTTTCGTTGCCATCGACCCATCCAAACAGCACCAATTATGATTGCTTCTGCTGGTCCCATGATTCCTGAGAGAAACAGCAGGAGAGCTAGGTCTTCCACTGTGGCTTGTACTTCGCTGTGAAAACAAAAGTTAGCATATATGTATGAAGAAAAACAGTTAGTTTTTTCTGTTCCCAGATCATTGCCGCAAGATGAATTTATACCTGGTGGGAAAGAGCATAAGCAATTGCTCTTTCTCTCTTCACCGCACCCTCATGCCTCATTTGTATCTTTGATTTTAAGTCATCCACAGTACCTTGACTATCACACCATCCTGTCTGCAATTTGAAGCATGTCATCCAAACGTCCAGACATGGTTATCGTAGATGTTTAAAACTAGACAACTGTGCAGACCAATTGTCCTACAGAACACTCTGCAGCTAACTAAAAATTTGTTTGGACATCAAACATGACATAAACAACATCACAGGGATGCATTATTGGTGGCATCATCAAACACAGGCTTACCTATCAATGACACTATCAAGATTAATTCAAACATACACGGTCAATACCAAGCAATATATGAAATCACCATCATTACTTAAAGGGAGCTCAATGTCAAAATCATTCCTACATCATAAAGATGTGATTTTTACTGTTGCAAGTCTCCAGCAAAAGCAACCGATTAGACCAGGCGACAAATTTTTATTTGACTGATGCATGAAGAGTACATATGAACATGTTGCGCAAGTATAGTGCAGGCGTAGTGCAGAGCAACTCAATAGTCAATAGCACGAAGTAAGCACGAGGAAAGAAGGCAACACAACTGTAATGGCAGAACTCCGCACGAAACAAACGACAAAACTTTCATCCCTATGTCAAAGCCTAACGGTGTTAAGTGGCTGTTAAAAAGACCTTTTTGCCCCCAGGGTCAAAAACATGTTGAAGGGCTTGCAGATATTTGCATACTGCATGCGCGCTGCATGCTTGCATGCATGACAGGACCTAGGGGCAAAAGGTCACGGCCGCTTCGGTCGTCGAGGATGTCCAAGTGAGTGGCGAAGCCGTCCGAAAGGAAGCTCATTTTCCCCGGTCAAATAAGGAATTCTCTCATGGCTTCAAACTCCCGAAACAAACGTGCAAAACCCCTATGTCAGCCTAAAGCAAGTTTTGAAGGGGACTTTGGCATTTCACCCATCATCAGAAATGGGTTTCGCAGTTTTACTATCCCTCAAAGTGGTTTCGTAATTTTGCCATTATGAAACGGATGCAACCCACTGGAATACACTTTGGGTAGTTTGAAGACGCCTCCTTCCATTTCTACCCCGGCTGTTTGTTACTTTCATCTGAATAGATGATCGATGCTTTCTTGGCTTGCGTGCGCAGTGATGGACGAGAGCCAGCTTCTTCCTGCAGCCGCGGACCGTCACCGAGCGATGACAGAAAGCAGATCGCAGTGCCCAGGCGGGGGAGGTGGACCACGCCTCCGACGATGCCGATTGTCGACAAAATATGGTCGGCAATCCACCGAGGGGTGCCCGTGGTGGTAGATTATCGGTGAGCGGTGCGTAATCAGGGAACGATGGTGACACAAGGCGCAGAGACAACAATTTAGACGAGCCATCTCGATCGATCGACGTAATACCCATCCCGTGTCTTTGGTGTATTGTATTGAGATGTACTGATTAACCTATCCTCTAGGGGACCCTTGTCTCTCCTTATATAGGAAGAGACAAGGTTACAAGTAAAGTATCCAATTTGGTACTATTACAATATCTAGTACAACTTGTAATCTTGATGTGCAAGCCTTTAACGGGAGGCGGATGGTGTGCCCCATGTACCATCTTGTGGCGGCGGGTATATCGGCGGCGCCTAGCGGCGCGCCATGTATTCTCGATACGACGCGCGGTTCCACCTTCTCCAAAAAGTGAGGCTTGAGTTCTTGACATCCAGGAAGGTTGTCCGAAGAATGTATAGTGCTTAAGAAGAAAGAAAAAGAAGGTGTGCCCACTTGTACTCGAAAAGAAATGTAAGTGCGTTTTGAACGCGTCCTTGATCATCGAGAGGCGTGAGGGGTGAAAAACAAACACATTCACCGTAAGGTGAAGTGTGCCCACTTAGTCCCCGAGCCTTGTAGTAGGTGACGCGAGGCACGTGGTGCCGTGGTCTAAAAAAAATTCCCAATTAAGTTGCGAATCGCAAGCGATACAAGATGCACGGCCGCGACGATGAGTCCCCAGAGCTTGCTGAGGTATGAGCCTTGTCAAGGTCTAAGTGGACGACGAGTCGCTGATCGCATGGTCGCGCAAAGTCCCCAGCCGTGGCGGCGCGCTGCTCCCCAGTGAGAGAGGAAGTCCCGAGCTCGGAGAGTGGTCGAGGCGTCCCCGAGCACAAGTCGAGGAGCGAGCGGCGAAGTCCCCGAGCTATGGTCGGAGAGTGATCGAGGCAATCCCCTGCGTGAGAAGCGGCGCGAAGCAGCCGTGGTCGGAGAGTGATCGAGGCGCCCCCGGCGTGGAGGTCGAGGAGCGAAGCGACGAAGTCCCGAGCCGTGGTCGGAGAGTGGTCGAGGCGATCCCCGTGCCGTGAGAAGCGGCGGCGAAGTCCCCCGAGCTGTGGTCGGAGAGTGGTCGAGGGATCCCCGAGCCGAGTCGAGGAGCGAAAGCGACGAAGTCCCCGAGCCAAAATTACTGCAATATAAATATGTAGAATGGTAGTACATGATGTACAAAATAATAAATTATGGAGAAAATAACGCTCGCTCAACGAGTCATTTGCAAATGAGCATGATGTGATAAAGTAGTTGGTGCTTTGTAAACATCGGTGTTAATGTGAAGTTTGTGTTTTACTTAATATAAATTGCCCGACCAGTTAGTATGTAGTTGAGTCTCCAGCCCTAGCTCGTTAACCATAACGCTGGGCACCTGCGTGTAGGAAGAACAAAGCGTCGCTAAGGAGCCGCTGCCGACCACCCGACGACGACGGCGTGCACGGTAGGGAGGAACCGGAGCAGGGCCTTTGCGGTCGTGGGAGACATCGGGCCAACATGATTGGTCGAGGATTTGCGTTAAGTATAGTTGTATGTTATCTTTAAGATTGTATACATGGACAATCGTTATTTGAAGAATAATCATGACGAGGACGCTGTGGAGAAACGCCGTAATGAAAATTGTGTTAAATATAAATATTAGAAGTGTACTTATCTTTGGATAGAAATCGAGTCGGTGGCGATGAAGTTGTCCGTCCTCGAGCTTTCCGACTTGTCGTCACGAAATGGTCGCGGTTGTTATAGCGCCGTTCTTCGCGGCGATCATCATTGCGACGTGGTGCGGTGGTCGAGGTGGTCGAGCTCAGCCAGAGCCGCCGGGACATGGTCCCGTGGTCCGTGGTCAGACTTGGCGTAGCCGTGGTCGGCGTGCTTGATGAAGGTTGCACATGCAAGTTGGCGCCGATTGATGTACACATACTTCTTCCTTATTTGCTTGCATGCATGCGATTTGCTTCCATGGAGATCTCTGTTGTGTTTGATTCGAATTGGAGTAGAACTCCCGCATGCGGATGCGGCTCGAGTGCAAACGCCACGAAGTTGCGTCGTCGAGTCCTCGGCGGGTCGGTGAAGTCGGAGAAGACGCCGATGATGAGGTTGCATGTATGGCGCGGTGTAGGTCGACGTCTTGATTGGATCTCGGCGATTGGATGATGATCTAGCTTGTTAAACTGCTCGTGAGAACGTCGAGCGTAGATGCATGTATACACGGAAGTATGTGCGGCTTGCATGATGATCTAGCTTGCTTGTTTGTCATTGGCTTCCATCCTTAGTATATGCATATGTTGTATATGTGCATACGCCGCATACATGCAAGTTAGCCTTGCATGTTGTTTGAGATCACGGCCTTTAACGTATCCGTGTTGATCTCTTGGAATCGGATCCGAAGCCATGCATGTTGTCAGATCACGGGCACTGGCAAATAAAACGATTCTGATCGATCTCTTGGAATCGGATCCGAAGCCATGCATGTTCTTTGTAGATCACGGGCATGGCAGGGAGCCTGCGTGCCCGTCGTGGCCCGATGGGATCTCGGCGAAGCACCGCCATGTAGTTCAGCCGAGGAGAGGATCAGATGGATGTCGGTATGCAACGGAGGTCGCTGAGTTGTAGCCGTAGTAGATTGATTCCGTCGCCGAGTTGTCGCCAGACGGTGGAATCGAGGTCCGCCATCTAGTTCAAATGGAAAATTACAAAATGGCCTCGACGAAATATGGTCGATTTCCACGAGGGGGTGCCCGTGGTGGTAGATTATTGACGGTGCGTGTAATCGGGGAACCGGATGGTGAAGATGACAACGAGTAAGAGCCGTCGATCGACGTAATACCCTACGCCCCGTGTCTTTGGTGTATTGTATTGAGATGTATCTGATTAATCTCGTCTTCAGGGGACCCTTGTCTCTCCTTATATACTCCGAAGAGACAAGGTTACAAATAAAGTATCCAATTTAGTACTATTACAATATCTAGTACAACTTATAATCTTGATGTGCACGCCTTGATCTTACATGCCGGACCACCTCGGATGGTGCGGCCCATGTACCATCTTATGGTACCCGGTATATCCCCCACACCGATGCTGCAGCAGCAGCAGCCCGCGGCGGCCGAGCACCCGCACCACCCGCGCAAGGCCGCCAAGGTCAACACCAGCTGGGACTCGTGCATCACGGAGCAGGGCTCCCCCGCGGACTCCTCGCCGACCATCCTCTCCTTCGGCGGTCATGCCGCTGCCGCGGCTGCATTCGCCAAGGCGGAGCCGATGCACCCTACAGTACTCTAGCTAGCTTGCTCCGACGTCACAGGTACTGCGCGTGTATTCGGTCTCTGTTCTGCTCCCACCACACCTTGGCCCTATCCTCGCCGAACCTCTCCCGGCTGCAGCAACAAGAACGCGAGATCACATCCCATTAGCATAACAAGATTTCCAGCATGATTAGATGTCCGACGATGAATCTTGCGTCCGGAGAATGAATAGCTAGTGTGGCCATTGACTTGCCTGAAGCGGACGCGGCGGAGCTCGCGGGTGCCGTCGCCGAACTCGCGGATGGTGATCGACACTAACTGCTTTGCACCACTAACTGGCAAAATTATGAAACCACTTGAGAGATAGTAAAACTGCGAAACCCGTTTCTGACGATGGGTGAAATGCCAAAGTCCCGTTTTGAAGGGCTTGCTATTTATACCTCTGCTTCCTTGACAGGATCAGCACGGCCGCTTCGGTCGTCGAGGATGCCCTGTGAGTGGCGGCCGTCCGCGGAGATCCGGAAGCGGCGGTCCCGCGCGCGCTCCTGGACCCTGACGAGCGCGTTCGTGCACTTGAGCGTGACGGCGAGCTGCTTGCGCACGCGGCGGCCGCGCAACAGCGCCTGCAGCCGCACGATGCCCCGCAGTGCCCTCAACGCCCTCCGAGCCTTCACGCATCCACAGACAAGAAACAGTGAGGGGACAAAAAAAAATAGGCGAGCATTTTTACCAGGAAACCGAGCGACGGGAACGGAGGCGGTGGCGGCGGCGGCGGCGGCGGGTAAGCATACCAGGAATGCGCGGAAGGCAGTTGGATGCGGACGGCAGCCCACTCCTGCCTGATGACGCGGAAGTCCCTGGGCTGCGCGCGCACGACGGCCGCGACGACAGAGCTGCTGAGCGCGTCGGCAGTGGACGACGCCTCGGACGGCGCCTCCCACGGCGGCGCGCTGCTCCCCCAGTGAGAGGACGAGCTCCGCCACAGTCGGCTCCACTTCCGGCCCTTCCCCGCGGCGCCGGGCCTCTCCCTCTCTGCTGCCGGCCGGAACCCCACCAGCGTCCGGATCCACTTACCCGACGCCCCCATCCACGACGCAACGCGAAAACCCCCAAATTTCTTCTCCCTCTCTCCCCCTCCTGCGAAGAGCGTGCACTGCTCCCACGACGACGAGGCGAAACGGCCAAAAGGGCAAATGGGGAGGTCGTGGGATACGTGAGGCTTGGCGGCGTGCCTTGGCCGTTGTGCGTGCTTCGGTTACGAGTCCCGGGGGAGCCGTTCGGCCGGGGAAAGCCACGGCCGAGCGAGCTCCGGGTCCCACCCTGTCAGACTTTCAAGGAAGGCCATGTTTAGTTGCCTACGGAATTGGCGCCGCCGGATTTCCTGACTGTACTGTAGCTACAGTAGCTTTTGTTTTTATTTGGTTATAATTATGTAATCGTTGACTAATTATGTTCAAAACGTTCGTCTCGCAAAGTACAACCAAACTATGCAATTAGTTTTTGATTTCGTCAACATTTAGTACTCCATGCATGTACCGCAAGTTTGATGTGACGGAAAATCTTCTTTTTGTATAGTGCCAAATTCAGAAATTTGGGGAACTAAACGTGGCCGAAGTTGGAGCCTTGGAGCAACGGTGCAGGCGCGCGCAGTGGAAAAGGCGAGTTTTGCAGCTCACGCGCTGACGAAAAAATTACAATGACCCTCGAAAGATTTACTCTTGATTACGATGACACTCGGATGGATGATAAGTAAGAGGCCGTTCGCTGGTCTGGAAGATCCAGACCAGCCGGCTGCTCCCACTCATTATTTACTGTTCACCAAACCAGTCGAACAGTGTTTCTCTTTCACACAACCAGCAGTTTCAGCCAAGTTTCAAACCAGCGAACGGAGTCTAAATCTATCTGTGTCTATAGATATGGATTCAGTGTCAAATTAAAAAAAACGACCTAGGTTTCGAATCCTATTTTTTTAAATCGCCCCGCGCTGACATGTTTTCGCTCGTTGGGCTTAGAGAAAGACGCGCTATTGATTACCCGTCTTTTTAGTTTTTATTCGTGGCACGGGCAGGTTCCTGCTGACTGGTCCGGCTCGTTTGAGATTTTTTTTTATCCTTAACCAGGCTCTATGGCCTTGTATTAACAGGGTCAGGCTCAGCCAAATCGTGAGCAGTCCAATGAGTTACAAACTCAGGGGTCAGTCCATAGACAAAACTGACCCGGGTCCTAACTTATACCCAAACTAGTAAGATCGTGTGCAAACGAATTACAAGACCTCGGGATTTTACAGATATTTAAACAATTGAAACTATTCTGTAGAATACTACGGATTTCCGTAAACAGCCCGCCACCGACAGATAAATCACTAGCCGGCAAAGTGATCGCATCCTTTAGCTGGGAGGAGTCCGTCTCAATCATCACCTGGGAGATGCCGAAGTGCTCTGCTGCTTCCAACGCCTGTTTGCACGCCATCGTCTCCGCGAGCAAGGCGTCATGCGCCGGCTCGAGATTTTCGGCACCGGCCAAGACGGCAGAACCCTCATGGTCACGCACTACAAAGGCCCATGCACCGATCTTGGACTCCTGCTTGAAAGCACCATCCACATTGATCTTGAGATATTCCGGTGGCAGCGAAGACCATTTCTGGGAAGGCAAGACCGGCGATGCTATAGGTTGGGGAGCCATCATCTGTATATCATGCACGATACTGATCGCTGCCTTTGGCACGCAGGCATGAGCTCGCCGGCGTTCACCTTGTTCCGCACATCCCACCACCGCCAGAGCAGCACTGACACACTGATGCAGGTATCAGTCCTCAATTTCATTACTTCCGATACAAACTCCTCAGCTGCACTAGTTTGCAGTAGCTGATTTCTGAAGAATTCGAGCCCCAGCTCCCTCCAACATTGGCGGACAGCTTTGCACTTCAAGAAGCAATGAGCACCATCCTCATCGAATCGGAAACATACCGGACATCTAGTATCCAGCCGGATTCCTTTCGTGCTGATATTTTGTTTGAAAGCCAAGCTATTATGAGCAACCCTCCACATAAATTGTTTGATCTTCGGTGGACCAGGGAGTTTCCATATTTTCTTCCAAACATTGCCGCCAGTATTAATTGGTGACCTAGATGATTCACCTCTGTCGGATACGCAAGATTTCAGCATCATTTTCCAGCACATGGTAGGCCGATTTGACAGAGAAAAGCCCTTTCTGATCAAAGTGCCATGCCACTGAATCTTCCCGATCAATATGCACCGGGGTGGCTAAAATATTCAACACATCCTCTTCCCAAAAAAGGTCCTTCGCAAGCTCAATATCCCAAGTACCAGTACAGGGATCAATCAGTTCAGATACCTTGGATAGTATAGTGCCTCCCCGGGGAGTTCTTGGCCTTCAAGAGAAGCTAGACGGAATCTTTTTTTTTCTGCCTTTCATTTAATATAGGGAAAGAGAGTTTACGTACACACTTTAGATGAGGGTTTAAAGCCCTTCAAAGCAGGTATAAGAGGGAAACACACATCCCAAGAAGAAAACAGTAGCTAAATATAAGCGAGTGCTCTTTTCTTTGCTCTATGTCTTCCTTTATCCTTGCGGCTACTTGTGGCATCGTTTATATCTCGTTGTTGAAAATTTTTCTATTTCTCTCTTTCCAAATATTCCAAAAGGTGTAGATTACTACCCCGTTTAGTCGTTTATGTTCAGATTTTGGCACTTTTCTTTGCCGCCTCTTCCCACCATGCTCTGATATGGATGGGGTCTGCCTGGGGCTGTTGTTGTAGCTGAGTGAAGTTTTCCCTAGAGAGAGGATTTGATCCCAAATCTCCTTAGCAAAAGGGCAACATATACATAGATAGAGGCCGGTTTTCAAGGGACCGTTACACAACACGCAATGTTCTTGGTGTGGCCACCCTCTCTTTTGAAGGTTGTGCGCCGTAATAATTTTATCTTGTACTAAAATCCAGGACAAAGATCTTGCATTTGTTCTCCACTTGTGCTTTCCAAATGAGTTCAGTACGGAACAAGACGAGCGAGCCTTTGAATTGAATTCTGTAAGCTGAGCGAGTGAAGTAAGTCCCATCCTGGGTCCATTGCCAGGTGATGGAGTCCTGAACGCGCTGTTGCAGGTGCACGACCTGAATTCGTATCCAAAGGGACATAAATTCCTCTATGTGGACAGTCGAGGTGATTTTTCTTCTTAGCGAGCGCATCCAATTGTTGTTTCGAAGTTTTTGTTGTACTGTTCGGTTTCTCCTTCAAGCCGAAACAAATTCGGGCTAGGTAACTTGGAACTTCTCCTTCAAACCAATTATAGTGTCAAAACCGAGTCGGAATCCATGGGTCTTCCCAAATACGGATGCTGCTGCCATCTCCTATTCTCCAAATGATGCCTTTCTCCATAGCTCTTAGACCCCTCACCAAACTACGCCAAGTGTATGACATCCCATGTCCCTCCTTCAGTGCCCACAGATTACCATCAGGCCAATATCTGGCTTTCAGCAACCGAGCACACAGTGAGTCTGGCTGATGGACAAGCCGCCAGCTCTGACGGGCAAGCATTGCAAGATTAAATAGATGCAGATCCCTGTACCCTAGCCCTCCCTTCTCCTTGCGGCTTGAGAGAGTCTGCCAAGAGAGCCACAGCCAGTGCAACTTCTTTTCATTCTCCTGCTGTGCCCACCAGAACCTGCATATCATAGTGCTAATCTCATCACACAGTGACTTAGTAAGGTCAAAGCACGACATGGCGTAGCTCGAAATCGCTTGCGCCACTGCTTTGATTAAAGTCTCCTTTCCTGCTCTCCACAAAAACTTCTCCTTCCATCCTTGAATGCTCTTCCATACTCTATCCTTCAAATATGCAAACATTTTGGAACGAGATCTACCCATATACACCGACAAACCCAGATATTTACCACTTTTGGCCTCCTGAGACAGATTCAGAGCAGCCATGTTAGCAGGCGAGGCGTCAGCCGGCCGGACTTGGGGAAGAAGTACAGGGAACTACGATGTATATTAGAAAAAGTGCGTTGGCTATAGCCAGAATACAAAATAGAGTAGTTCACTCGATAGCTGCCCACGACTCCTTCCTTGCCTCCTCTTATCTCACTCCGACTTGGGCCTCTCATTACATGACACGCAGGCCCATTCCGGCCCGGACAACTTCACGTTGCGTGCTCTCTTCCTCTTGGGCCTTGGAGCTGCCGACGGATCCCTAGGGTGAGGCCTGCTGACATCCCTCCCCCCTTGAGTGCCGGCATGTCCCCATGCCGGAGCACCAGGGAAACGCTGCATGATGGCGTCGGCGTCCTCCCAGGTAGCAAGCTCGTCGTCGAGGTCGGACCACTTGATCAGCAACTGCTTGACGGAGTGGGTACCGCGTTATTGTAGCCTCAACTGCAGCACACGCTCAGGTACTTGCATGTTGTTGTCAGGGTCGGGGAGCCTTGCGAAGACTGCCGGAACAGAGGATGACGCCGGCTTCAGAAGCGAGACGTGGAACACCGGGTGGATTGAAGATGTCGGAGGAAGCTCAAGCTTGTACGCCACTGCTCCAATCTCGGACAGCACCTTGAACGGGCCGAAGTATTTGAAGCATAACTTGTGGTGGGAGCACGGCGCCAATGATGACTGAACGCAAGGTTGCAGACGGAGGTAGACAAAGTCTCCAGTCTGGAACAAATGCTCCGAGCGCTTCTTGTCCGCCTGATGCTTCATGCGCTGCTGTGCTCGAAGAAGATGCTGGTGTACAGATACGAACATAGTGGTTCACTCCGCCAGCATGGAGGCCACGTCCGACACAGGGGAAGCAGCAAGATCAGTAATACCAAAATGACGAGGAGATCGACTGAACAGTACCTCAAACGGCGACCTTCCCAGAGCTAAGTGCGTACTGGTGTTGTACCAGTATTCTGCAAGTGGTAGCCACTTCAACCACTGTCTTGGGCAGGAATGAACAAAACAACGCAGGTATGTTTCAAGACATTGATTTACACGTTCGGTCTGACCGTCAGATTGAGGGTGGTAGGCTGAGCTCATAGCCAATGTCACCTGAGCAAGATGAAATAGCTCATGGCAAAACTGGCTGGT